CATCCATCCTCTGCTTTTTTGTAGGCAGGAAGGTGTAACGGAGCAACCCAGGAGGGATGAATGTCATGAATAAGTAAAGGGGAAAGTACAATGCCACTCTGATTTCATGGTCGCTCCCCATGTCCCAGCCCTTCCTTGAGACTCAGCACATTTCTTTGTATCTTCCCAGGATGATCAAAACACATTCTAATTAACACCACCCTTGATGGAGGTGGATGGTAATGGATGAGACAAGAAAGTCAAGAGCTCCTCTGCCCAGAGGGAAGCTCGGCCTGGGGAGGCAGGCCATGACCGCTTCTGAACTTTACCTGGGCAACATATTTTTTACAGGCCAGCTGGCACAGAGATATTAAGGGATGCAATCATGTGTGTCTGGAAGCAGTGGCTAGTCAACATGGAATTGCTAGCACATATCTATCCATACAGTTTTTTTTTAAAGCAAAAACCAAGATTATGTTCCTGAGGTACATAAAATATTTAACACATTATAAACAAAACCCCTTACGTGGTTCTCTGCTGCCAGGACAAATGAAGAATTGTCATCATGATTATCTTGAAGGAAAATATCAGGTCAAATCAAAATTTACATCAAAATTGCATTCTACAACACCCTTTGAGCAATGGATAGATTGCATACAGTAAGAAACTGCACAAGATAGGAGGTGGAGAAAATAAATAAAACCAGACGGAGATAGTGAAAGCATGAAAGACAAATATCCTTCTGAATCACATTAACAGATTCAAGCAAATGCCAAATTGTTACTCAACTTAAAGGATACACGGGATGATGCAATTATGAATGATTAGCAAACAGTTGCAGTTTCAATTTAAATTTGTCAAGACATTATTCAGAATTAGCATAGCAATGATGCTCTGCCAGTTGACAGAACTGTTACATGCCCTATTTGGCCAATGCTGCATTGCTCTGCATCATGCATTTGGTAAATGTTTGGTTTTCTCTGATATTCTGAACATTGCTGCTGCAAATTGCACTGATTTAATCTTGTCACTAAGGTAATATTACCAAGCTGGCAAACATAATTAGGTTTTGTTGAAATGGCAATAATGACTTGTGACAGTCATCATCAGAATAAGTCATTTAGAATGCACTGAAAATTATAAACCCATCAGTAATATTTTGCAGTGCCATCAATTTCCAGCTGTCATAGCTGTATAACTTATAAGGTTATGTATGTGTGTATATGTTTATATGTGTGTGTACACACACACATACATATATACACTTAGAAATACATAAACTTAGAAATGTATGATATTGATATTTCTGCCATGAAACACACAAACTAAAAATAAATACAAATTAAAAGTATAATTTTATGGTGAGGCAAATGAAAATGTTAGCATGGCAAATAGAAATCTGCTAGCAGGGGAAAACATTTTGACTTCCTTTCCTGGACTTTTTCTGTTCCATTATCTTTGTGGAGATTTGAAGGTTTGGGACTGAGGGAAAGGTATTCTGCAGTCACCAATCAAGGAAGAACTGAAGGGAGACAATAACTTTCTCAAGCAAATCAGGCAGAACTGATTGCTCTTTTCAATCAAGTATATTAAGAGTGCCAGTTCCAACATTTGTAGATGGATATGTGATTATTGAATGTGTGTGTGCAACCTTTTGGAACAGATCTTGATGCAACAGGAAGAAATCACCTGATTTGATCTACACTCATGCGGGGCAAAGTACACTACCTGAGCGTAGAGATCCGACAAGAACATGGGACATGTGTTGGGAAGCTTATCAGAACTACATGCATTAAGAGGACCATGAGAAGATCCTGGTGTATGATCAGAGTATCTGGGCTTTACACAAAGCTCAAACAGCAGAGATCAGCAGGGTGTAAAGCCGTGTGCTCCTGTGGGCACAGGCAGACTGGGACAGGATAGGGTTTGCAGTGCTCTTGTGTTCTGGTGTGCAACTCTGCCCGCCTAAAAAAAAGCTGCTTTGATGGGGAGACAGGGATAAAGTGGAGAAAGTATTATTCTTAAGAGACAAAAATGCACTGTACTTCGTGAGAAATATGGAGTGAGAGACAAAAAAAAAAAGAGACGGAAAGCCCAAAGGTTAGCTCTGAGCAGCAGAGAGGAGGGTGAAAAAAAGCAAGAACTTAAGAAAAGAGAGGTGGCAGGAACTACAGAACATGAGAGGTGGTGTCTAACTGTGGCTCAGGGTTAAGGTAAGCTGTGCTACTATGTAAAAATCATGTTCTCTTGCCACTCTAACATGAACAGAAAGGTCTCGAAAAGATCATTAGCTAAATCTGAATTATTCATTCATGACTGCTTCAACACTTGACAGTCTTAAAATGCTATATATGATATACTTTTTAAACAGTATTTAATTTTCAGCATTTGTTTGCCATTAAGCATAATTAGCTTTGATGTAACGGTCTAAAGTTAATATTTATAGTGTACAGTAATCAATTAGCATAGTGTAATACATAACTCATTGTGTTAAATATAAATAAAATAATAATTTCTATATAAATTCACACTTTAAAATAAATAAAGTTATATATAAATAAAACGTTCTTTAAAATATAATGCATAAAATTCATAGTAAGTATTAACATATATAGTGGGGTGACATTTCTTGCTGTAAGATCCTCATAGAGCTGACACTGGCTTGCAGTGTCACTAAATCAGAGCCACAAACTGCTTAACCGTCATTCCAAATTAGATAAAGACCATTTACAAAGAACCAATTCTTTCTCAAATGTCTCTCTTCAAAGAATTAGGTTTGTGAGTTCATTCAGCCATCTACCTTGACAAAGATACAGCTGGTCTATTCAACAGTGACCGCATCCTTCACAACAAAGCACTAAATTACTTTTATTAGATTAGAAAAAGCAATTAGGTAAATAACAAAATAAATAAAGCTCAAGGGCTTCAACCAAACAGTTCCAAATGGAATTAAAGACAAATTAGCTTGTGTAATACATAACTCATTGTGTTAAATATAAATAAAATAATAATTTCTATATAAATTCACACTTTAAAATAAATAAAGTTATATATAAATAAAACGTTATTTAAAATATAATGCATAACATTCATAGTAAGTATTAACATATATAGTGGGGTGACATTTCTTGCTGTAAGATCCTCATAGAGCTGACACTGGCTTGCAGTGTCACTAAATCAGAGCCACAAACTGCTTAACCGTCATTCCAAATTAGATAAAGACCATTTACAAAGAACCAATTCTTTCTCAAATGTCTCTCTTCAAAGAATTAGGTTTGTGAGTTCATTCAGCCATCTACCTTGACAAAGATACAGCTGGTCTATTCAACAGTGACCGCATCCTTCACAACAAAGCACTAAATTACTTTTATTAGATTAGAAAAAGCAATTAGGTAACTAACAAAGTAAATAAAGCTCAAGGGCTTCAACCAAACAGTTCCAAATGGAATTAAAGACAAATTAGCTTATTGACAGGAGAAATTATGCCACTGCTGGGATATGCATGCCTGTATTTTTTTCCACTGACGGAGATGAACTGAGACAGACATTTCATGTGACAATAATACGGGAGATTATTGCATTCACTGAGGGTCTTCATTTCCAAATCTGTTCGAAATGAATGAGAGTTAAGAAACCAGATATTTAAATTTGCAGAAATCTCCCTCAGCATAGTGGGAAGCTCTAAAGCTCTTAATCACTGCAAGCCATAATAAGAATCCATTCCACAATGTCAGAACGGCTGTGTGAGACTTCGCCACCATCCCTGTTAAGCTACCTCCCCATTTGGACTCTTAACCTTTCCTGTCGGCCATACTGTGAAGCATATGGGCCCCTTGCGCTTCATTATAGTTCCTTCATCAACCCTCAGAACTGTGCTACACCAATCTAATGAAACTTGTCTATTCATAGTTATGGAAACGGCTGGATTTACACATAGCAAAAGGATTAAGAAAGGCTCTTTGGCCATTAACTAGTTTTATTTCATTCTCTGCAAAAGCTCTAATTATAGTCTGCGGGGCCAATTGCGTCCAGTCTCCTGGGTTGATCTCTGTAACATTAGTTTATCTAATTCAAGCCATAAAAAGCCTCAAAGCTCATGGCTTAAAAGAAGACCACAGGAGAAAACCAATAAAGGATTTGTTGAACAGCATAAAGCAGTGTGATTTAGATAGACGGTGTGACGTATAGATGAGGGTAAATATCTCAAGGTCACACATAACAGAGCCACATATTTTTCCGAAGGACGCAGCTGATATCTACCAATCAGGGGTGATAATGTCTTCACAAACCAAAGCTGGTTGTTCAATTAGTCAGGTTTAACACATTTAAAGGAAATTCTTTTTGATTAAACATGATAAAAGCTTATGGGTGGGAAGACATAAAAGGATAGACCTCTGGATCAAAATAAAGGGTATCTGTATCTAGCCTGAAACAAACATGCAGCTAAACTGAATTGCATAGCATTATCACCAAGCCTTCCAAACTGACACTAATAACGCCATCACAAACCTGCCAGGAAATTAAGTCATTTTACTGAAATATTACATTGTGCCTTAGTAGTAAGCAGACTGAAAAGGTTGAATGAGTTGAATTCCTGCTAAAAAAATCACTTTAATTTCTATCAACAAGAACTTTCTGTGCTGAATGGACACTCTATATTTAACTGAAGTACAGATATTGTAGCGGACATTATGAACTTTGCTGTTTAAAAAAAAAAAACTACCACCAAAAAAAATCCCTTGTTCTAACACTGATTTGTATGCATATTTATGGGGAGTAAAAAACAAATCACCTCATCAACTCCTATGACTCACAGTAATATTCATTATGTCAAGCACTGCGACACTATTAGTGTGCTGATATAACAGGAGGTTTAGTCAGTCTCGTAATATGCTACACAATACTGCTAAGACCATAAATGCAAATGTAATCAGACAAATAAGCCATAATAGTTATTTAAAACGATTATATTGTGCTCCACTTAAGAAATCCTGTAAAAGTAAGCATATCCATCTTCTTACCCTTGCTGGCACATTCAACATGCTCAAGCTCATCAGGGAACTTCAGGATCTCAGGATACTTTTCTTCACATTTCTCGGCCAGAAAGTGCAGAAGAGTTGTATTCTGGTCAGTCGACTTGGTGTCACGAAGCTGCAGAGAAAAGATTAAGAAATGAGTCATGAAATTGAATCTAGTTAATATAGTAATTTTAATGATGAAACATTTAAGCAAACTAGAACTTTGAATAAACTGTCC